GAAGGAAGGAAGGAAGGAAGGAAGGAAGGAAGGAAGGAAGGAAGGAAAAAAAGAAAGGAAAAAGGAACACAGGGAAGAGGGAGGGAGGGAAGGAAAGAAAGAAAGGGAGGGAGAGAAAGGAGTAGGGAGAAAGGAGGGAAAAGGAAGAAAGGGAAGAGGAAGGGAGGGAAAATGGAAGGAAGGAAGGAATAGAGAAAGCGGAAGGAAAGAAGGAAGGAAACCAAAGAGGAAAGAACGAAGGAAGAAAAGCTAGAAGAGGAAGGAAGGAAAGAAAGGAAGGAAATAGGAGGGGAAAGAAAGGGAGGGAGGGAGGGAGGAGGGAGGAAAGGGGAAGAAAGGGAATAGGAAGGGAGGGAACGAAGGAAGAAAGAAAAAGGAACAAAGGGGAGAGGGAGGGAAGTAAAGAAAGAGAGGGAGGGAATGGGTTAGGGAAAAGGGAGGAAGGAAGGAAAAAGGAAGAAAGAAAGAGGGAGGGAGGAAAAAGAAAGAAAGAAAAAGAATGAAAGAAAGAAAGAAAGAAAGAAAGAAAGAAAGAAAGCCACTGCCTGAAGCTAGAAAAGTGGATGCTGGAGAGAGATTGGGGCATGTAATTCATTCTCCCTCTCTTCCTCCCTCCCCCTCTCTCTCTCACACACACACATACAGCTAGTCCTTGACTTACGACTGAATCCCAAATTCATCTTGCTAAGCGAGACATTGTCAGGTGAATTTTGTCCCATTCGGCAGCCTTTCTTGCCGCCGTTGTGGAGCAAGTCATTGCAGTGGTTAAGTTAGTCACACGGTCATTAAGTGAATCTGGGGAACTATTGACTTTGCCTGCCGGAAGGTCGCAAAAGGGGACGGCCCTGACCGTCATAAGTACAAGTCAGCTGCCAGGCGTTTGATCACGAAACCACGGGGACGCTGCGACAGTCGTAAGGGTGAAAAGCGGATATGCGTCATGGTTGTATCTTTGGGCAAAATTCACAAGGGCCTCACTTAGCAACAGAAATGTTGGGCTCCATTGTGGTCATAAATCGAGCACGATTGGCATTGGGTATGTGGCTTATGTAACTCAAGGAAGTTACTCACCAGATATCCATATCTGCTTTTCTTTTTCAGGTGTTAAGCTATCCGGAAGAGATTCTTCCTTCACTGGAGGTGAGGAGGAGGAGACGGGAAGAAAGGTAAACGGAAAAGGATGAGTTCTCCCAAACAGGAAGTCCTCGCCTTACAGCAGTTCACTTAGCGACCCTTCAGAGTTACAACCGCACTGAAAAAAGTGATTTGCGACTGTTTTTCAACCACTTACGACCATTTTTCACACCTACGACCGTTGCACATCCCCCGTGGTCATGTGATTTGCATTCGGATGCTTGACTAGTGACTCCTATTTATGACGGTCGTGGCGGCCCCCTTTTGCGACCGTCTTCAGAGCAAAGTCAAGGGGGAAGTGGATTCACTTAACAACGGTGTGATTAACAACTGCAGTGATTCGCTTAACCATGTTCCTCACTGAACAAGTACAGTGAGTGATTCACTGAACAACTGTTACTAATTTCACAACGGCAGGGAAATTTGCCTTCACAAACGTGGCAAGGGAAGTTGTCCACGGGGTAAACCTCGTGTAACCGATGTCTCGCTGAGCGACATAAATGCTGGGCTCTTTGCGGTTGTACGTCTAGGACTGCCTGCAGTGGATGGTTTTCTAAGGAGCTGGAAGTACCGTCTCCTCCATCTTCCCAACCTGGCAAGATAGGCGTTGTAACCTGACCTGCGTTTGTGCCCAACCGTTCTATGTTGACGAACTGACTTCCCTTCTATGTAAGCTAAGATGTCTCACGTTTTGTTACATCCAAGGGACCGGAAGACCAGAAACTCAAAAGGATGCCAAAAAAGAGGAGGAAGGAAAAGAGAGAGAGAGAGAGAGAGAGAGAAAGAGAGAGAGAATGGGAATTCCACCCTCCAGGCGGTGAAGAACCTGAATGACGCACAATCCAGGCCTTTATCCTCGTCAGCAACTAATTAAACTCTCAACCCGAGCAGGATCGTTAATATTGAACGGGGCTGGCCTCCCTGGCCGATAGACACGGCCTCGCTGCCATCGGCAACTCAATTAGCGCGGCTTGATACGCCCGCCGCGACGTGAAGACCCCCATTTCTCACTGACACGGGATGCGCGCGTTGTACGGCGCATTGGCAAGAATTCCTGCATCCCTAAACCCTCCTGGGGTCCCCCGTTTCCACTGCAGATGTAACCCGGAGGCCCCGCTGTTCTCTCCGTCCCATCCCTTGAGCTCTCGTGCAAAAAGTTGAAAGGCCTGGCCGGTTGAGCGACCCTTGGTCTGAGCTGTTGCCCCGCTTTCAATCATTCATTGCCCCCTGGCACCCCTTCCCCTCTATTCTTATTATTATTTTTTTAATCCCATCCTGCTGATCCCTATTGACTTTCCGGGCCAGGTAAGACGCGAGGTCAGGTGGATTGCAACCCATCAATCTGGGAAGACGGCCAATTGCCACTGCTCGGATAGGGTTCCCCGGTGTGGGAGGAGTGGGGAAGAAGGGTGGGTGGGTTGATAGGCAGCCTCAGCTGCGGGAGGGAGAAATATATATCTTTCCTTCCACCGCCCACCTCCCTTCCCCTTCCAACTTCTCCCCGGCTGTGGTCCGTACGTATCTCAGTCTCATTTCTCTTCTCCTTCATTCTTCCTGTAGGTTGCTAGGCAACCTCCCCCAGTATCTGTCATAATCCATTATGAAGCTGGATGTGTGTATGTGTGTATGTGCGGGTGTGCAACGAGAGGAGGAGGAGGGGGCTGGCAGGAGGAAGAACGGGAACGTACCTCACTCGGCGGCTCTGCACTCCCGACGTCGGCAGAGCGAGATGTGGAGTAAAACATTCAGCAGGCTTAAGAAATTGCACAGTGTTTGCTACCCCGAGGAAAGTCTCAATTCCTACTCACCCCCCAGGATCAAGAACGAGACCACTTCTGCAGATCTCTCCACGGTGTGGTTGTGGGTCCTTTCCTCCCCCCCTCCCCCCGCCCACATCAACCTCCCTAAAAATCAACATTTTACCCTGTTGGGACCTGGGGTAGTCCGTGGTGCCACCCCACCCATGAGCCAAGCGGCGGGGTGATTACCTGCAGCGCTGGCGGGTACAAAACAGACGTATCTTTCAAGGCCCAAAGTGCCTTCGCCATTCTGGAGTAGCTGGAGGCGCCACTGGCCATGAGCCTCACGGTGGTGGGGTGAGCGGAGGTGCTGGATCATGGCCAGGCGGCTGGGCGAATCGACATTACACAGGAGGCAGCGGAACTGCGCGGGTTCAGAGGTGGGTGGGGGTGCCGAGGCGGTCTCCATTTCCAGAAGCAACTAGGGGTGAAAGAAGAAACGGGGATTGCAGATTCGAAGAAGAGGAGAGGACACCCCTATGTCTTCCAGGTCAGCAATCAATTAGTGGTCCTTGGTCCCCTTGCGGGGCTACTGGTCTCTCTTCCCCCATGCCTTTCTCCATACGCCCTTGGTACTTAAACCTGCTTGTGGAGGCATCCATTGCACCTTTTCCTAGAATAATAGGGTCGAAAGGCACCTTGGAGGTCTTCTAGTCTAACCCCTCCACTCAACGAGGAGACCCTGGAGCCATTCCAGACAAAAGGCTGTCCAATATCTTCTTGAAAACCTCCAGTGATGGAGCACCCGCAACTTCTGGAGACAAGCAGTTCCACCGGTGAATTGTTCTCACCGTCGGGAAGTCACTCCTGGATGGGACCCCTCTTCAATGACCTCTTTTCCAAAGCCCCAGAAGGCGGGACGAGAAGCAACGGGTGGAAACTAATCAGAGAGCGAAGCAACCTGGAATTAAGGAGAAAGTTCCTAACGGTGAGGACAGTTAACCCGTGGAACAGATGGTGGGTCCTTCAAAACTGAAGCTTGGACAACCTTATCTGGAATGGTATAAGGGTCTCCTGGTTGAGCAGGGAGTTGGACTAGAAGACCTCTAAGGTCCCTTCTAACTATGTTATTCTTTCGTCTTCCACCTGTTATTTCCTTGTCCTGCCTTCAGGTGCTTTGGAGAATAGCTTGACTCCCTCTTCTTTGGGGCAGCCCCTCAAATATTGGGGCACTGCTGTCATGTCTCTCCTAGTCCTTCTTTTCATTAGACTAGACACACCCAGTTCTTGCAACCGTTCTTCATATGTTTTGGCCTCCAGTCCCTTTATCATCTTGGTTGCTCTTCTCTGCACCTTTTTTGTTTTTTGGGGGGGGGCATTTCCAGTTCAACCTAATTAATGTCCTTTGGGGGGACATCTGCTGCATCCCTTTTCAGTAATACTTGTGCAGGCAGTTCTCAACTTACAACCATTCATTCAGTGATGCTTCGAAGTTACAACAGCACTGAAAAAAAATGACTTTTTTTCACACCAATGATTGACTGTTGCTGCGTCCCCACGATCACGTGATCAAAATTCAGAACCTGGGTCCCTGACTCGTATTTCTGATGGTTGCTGGGATCACGTGATCCCCTTTTGAGACCTTCCGACAAGTAAAGTCAACGGGGAAACCAGATTCAACAATGGTGCTACTAATTTGTTGTTAACCAAGGTGGTGGAAAGAAAAACCGGGCAAAACTCAGCGTCTGTCTCCACGGAGCAACATAAATTTGGAGCTCCACCGTGGCCTTAAGTCGAGGGCTACCTGTACTGAATATTATTCTCAATTCTGGTTTTTGATGCATCCTTCCCACAAATTTGGTACCTTATAACCTTGCAGAGCTTCCTGGTGGCCGGTGCCGGCAACGTGAAGCTGGATTTTTTCCTTGCTGTTGGTCTCGTATTCACACAGGTTGCAGTGAAGATGTAGAGGCGGTCCCAGGGGCAGCTCCACCCCCAGGTGGGCGACCAAGCTGCCCCCTTCCCGCAGGTGAGCGGCCAGCTGGTACTTCAAAGCATGCTTGTCGGTCTTCAGGTGAAGCTGGAAGTTGGCTTTCAGTTGGGTGCCGTAAGCGCAGAGCCGACAACGGTGCAAGTCACCGGAGATTTCCTTCCATTCCACCTCCGGCAGGGAGCGCGGGATGGAAGCGTGCCGCAGGAGGCTATCCAGACTGTCGGTGCTGAAGACTTGGCACACCAGACAGCTGAACAATCTCTGCGGGGTCAGCAGGTCAGGTCCAGACTGGGCTGGTGGCGAGGAGGGGGGAGCGGGTTCAGGAGAGAGAGAGGCGGGGGCTGCGGAGGCGAGAAATAAAGTGAGTGCGTGAATTTCGTGTACCCATAGGTCAGCGTTTCCCAACTGCAGGAACATTTAAGAAGTGTGGACTTCAACTGGGAGCCAAAGTCCACACTTCTGGGAAACACTACTATGAAGGAATGGGAATTATGGCTCAGTGGTTAAAATGCAGTATTGGCAGGCTAACTCTGCCCATTGTCAGCTGTTCAAACCTGACTGGCTTGAGGTTGACAGCCTTCCATCCTTCCAAGGTCGGTAAAATGAGGACCCAGATTGTTGGGGGCAATAGGCTGACTCTTGAGCGGTATATGAGTGCTAAACTAACTAAAGAATTGACGTTGGTACCACAACATGGAGAAGAAACACAATGGTGCACAAGACATAACCATGGATGTAAGAGAGAGAGAGGGGGGGACAAATCAATACGCCAAGGGAGATCTTGAAGAAATGGTGGACCATGGATAGATGAAGAACAACAACAGGACAGGGAACACAGTCAAGCTTGGAGTCCTTGTAGGCAGGACCTAGAGGTTCATACGGACACCAAGAATGGAAAGTCTCTCTTACCTGTCCCCAAGGTAGCCATCTTCCGCCCCGCTGCGCTGAGATGTTGGAAGCCTCCGTTGATCAAGAGTTGGGGTTGTTCCATGGGCTTGTCTGCCCGCAGAGGCGGGTTGCTCCCCGCATGGACCTGGTGGGGATGTGAGTGGTGGGCATGGCTTAGAGCCTGTGCTCCATAGAACGGGAAGAGGTCAGGCTGAGCCTTGCCTCCTGAAGGGGTCTGCGGTTGTCCCAGAAGCCCCGGCAAGGTCAGTGGCAGCCCTTGATGGAGCAACAGCATGTTCTGCATGTGCTTCTCAGATGTCATGTGGATCCGTAAGTTACGGGAGATGTTGGTCTCGTAACTGCACACTTTGCATTGCCAGGACGACTTGCCCTTCGACTCCTTCTCCTCAGGGGAGGATGGGGAAGGTGCCACAGGGGGAGGCACTGGTGGCCCACTTCCTCCCGTAGCCTGATAGCCTTGTAGGTTGGCCAGGTGTTTATCAGACTGCATGTGGATGCTGAGGTTGCCCTTAGTAGTGGTGGAGTAATTGCAGGCCTCACAACGGTAGGGTTTGTAACCACAGTTGTAGCTCTCACCACGGGCCAGGCGTGGATGGGGACCACCCGTGCTACAGTAGGCGCAGTGGCTGTTGTTCTCTGGGTGTTTCTCCTTCATGTGGACGTCCAGGGTCTGCTGGTACTTATAATGCCAGTTGCATTTGGGACATTTGAGCGTCTTGCAGGAGTTGCGCGAGTGCAGCAGTGACATGTGGCCTGACAGAGTCAATCCCGAGTATGCCATCGCTGTAAAATCTTCCCCGAAGCTAAGTGAGGCTCCTCCGACAACATTGTGGCCGTTGTTCCCAAGTCCGTTGTTGACCTCAAACCCGGCCGTCATTGCTTCGTTGGCTGTCCCTACACTGCTCAAGCTGTCCGCCAAGTCAGTGGCACTGATGTCATGGGCCGGCTGGTGAGAATCATTGGGAATGCTGTCGGCTTTGGGAATGGACTCAGCCCTGGTTTCAGCCGCTAGGTCCACACAAGGGACCTCATGCATTAGTCTTTCCTTCAGGATCTTGTGGTTGGTCTTCTCCTTGTTGACATCTTCCTGGGGTGGCCCTGTATAGTCAGAATTTGGGGCATTGGTCAGTGGTGTCTCTGAGCGAGAGGTGTTAGCAGCCAAGGGTGCGCTTGATGTATCTGGTGAACTTTGGTCTGGAAGCAGTTCCTTCTCTTCCTTCTTTTCATCCACTTGTGCCACCTCCTCCTCCTCCTCTTCCTCCTCCTTTTCCTCTTCTGGTTTCTCCTCCATGGAACCATTTGCCCCGTGCGTGCGGCCTGCCCTTGAATCTTTGGTGTTTGATGGGTCGCATCGTCTTTCTGGGCTTCTTGTCTCGTTCTCATTTTCCTCCTCCTCCTCCTCTTCTTCTTCTTCTTCTTCCTCCTCCTCCTCCTCCTCTTTTACATTCACCCATCTGCTACACATTCTGGCATTGAGGTCTGCCTCGGTGGTGGGGTTATTTGGTTCTAGGAAGCCAAGGTCGGTGCCCTGGAACACAGCCGAAGCCCCTCCATCCAAGGCCTGGCATTTCTCATTGCAGAGCTGCACGCCGTGCTCTGTACGGGCATGAGACACCAAGGTGCGGCCCTGGTTGAACGAGAGGCGGCATGTCAGGCAGAGCCACACGGGACCTCCTGGCATCACCTTGTCTCGGCCACGAGTGGCTTCCTCATTCTCCATGGGGGCGGTGGGGGCATCTTTGGATTTGGTGGTAGCGTTTTTGGCAGGCGTATTTTGAGCTGGGGCCCCGGCCAGTCGGTAACTGTAGAAGGCGCCTTGAGGAGTCACCTCGCCTGGCGCTGAGGTATTCTGGGACATTTGGTCAACAGACATAAAGCCTTGGTTAGGACCTCCACTGTCCTGAATGTGGAGAATGGACACTTGAGGAGTGGAGCTGACGGGGGAGCCCTTTGGTAAGAGAACGTGGCCGCTGGCGAGGAGGTACGCCGAACCGTCAGCGGCAAAGAAAAGCTGGGCCTCGCGCCCACCGTCCTCATCTCTGTGGTCTTCCAGCTGGACCCCATCTTCAGCCAGCGGCAGGCCTAGAGGGAAAGGGGAAGGATTTGGCAAGGACTGGCTGGGGTCCGCTTGGAGCTGTGGGGTAGATGAGACGGCGGCAGGGAACTTGGCCAAGCTGAGTGCGGCGGCTTGGGTACTGGCGCAGGGTCTCATGATATCATCGGGACGGGGCGAGGGGGAAGGGGAGGGGTCCCATAGGGGGGGTTCTTTGGTGGGCGGCAAGGCAGGAGAGCCCTGAGCAGGCCGAACCACGGCCCGGTCATCCTGTCCGTCTGCCGGGGGGACAGCAGCGGAAGAGTGGGAGGAGGAGGAGGAGGAGGAGGAGGAGTTAGAGGAAGCATCCATGGTGGTGCAGGCGGGAGGAGCACAGAGGGATCATCTCAGCACAGGAGCCAAAACCCTGCAGGAAAAACAAGAGAAGACAAACACATGTAAATCCCACCTTACCGCAAGAGGACAAATGGGTCCACTAACTAACGTTTAGCGTTCTGGCTAATGTGGCTATCAATCTGTCCACGGATTGTAGTAATCTTAGGAAGGGTTACAGATGATTCTCAAATTACAACTATTCGTTTTGTGACCTTCCAAAGCAGTGGCTCGGTGGCTAATACACCGAGCTTGTCAATCAGAAAGGTCGGCAGTTTGGCGGTTCGAATCCCTAGCGCCGCGTGACGGAGTGAGCTCCCGTTACTTGTCCCAACTTCTGCCAACCTAGCAGTTCGAAAGCACGTAAAAAAGGCAAGTAGAAAAATAGGGACCGCTTTTTGGTGGGAAGGGAACAGCCTCCCGTGCGCCTTCAGCGTTTAGTCATGCCAGCCACATGACTATGGAGACGTCTTCGGACAGCGCTGGCTCTTCAGCTTTGAAACGGAGATGAGCACCGTCCTCGAGAGCTGGAAGCAACTAGCATGTATGTGCGAGGGGAACCTTTAAAGTTACAACGGCCCCGAAAAAAAGGGATTAGGGCCGTTTTTCACACATACGACCATTGCAACATTCCCCACCATCACATGATCAAAATTCAGATGCTTGGCAACCAACTCGTATTTATGACGGTTGCAGGGTCCCAGGCTCAAGTGGATCCCCTTTTGTGACTTTCTCACAAGCAAAGTCAACAAGGAAGCCAAATTCACCGAACAACTGTGCGCCTAACTTAACACCCACGCTGATTCGCTTAATGACCGTGGCAAGGTTGTAAAATCAAACAGAGCTTACATCACGACCTTCGCGGCATCCCCATGCTCATGTGATTAAAATTGAGACACTTGGCAACCAGTTCATATTTATGACAGTCACAGCGTCCCGGGGTCATATGATCCCCTTTTGCGACCTTCTCACAAGCGAACTCCATAGGAAAATTCGGATTCACTTAACAACCAGGATACTAATTCAACAATTGATTGTACTGATTCACTTAACAAGAGTTTGTAAAATCAGACATGGTTCACATCCCAACTATATATCTTAACGATGGTTTTTCTGGTAGCAATTGTGGTCGTACGTCAAGGACTGACTCTATGGGGGAAAGCTGTTGCTTATGAAAAGAGATTTGCAATGCAAAATTAACAACATGTTGTCGACTGATCAGATGGCGATGCATTGTTGAACAGGTGTGAGTGCCACACAATATATTTTTTGATTGTCTCCCAGGTGTTCAGAACCGTGTATTTTCAATCACATGCACGGTTTCTTATCTCAACAGGTGGTCCTCAACTTACAACAGTTCTCTTAGTGACCGTTCAAACTTACAACGGCAATGAAAAATGGGACTTATGGCCATTTTTCACTCGTATGACCATTGCAGCTTCCCATGAACACGTGATCAAAATTCAGGCGCTTGGCAACTGACTCATAGTTATGACGGTCGCAGTGTCCCGGGGTCACACGATCCCCTTTTGCGACCTTCTGACAAGCCAAAGTCAAGGGGGAAGCCAGATTCACTTAACAACTGTTGTTATTTGCGTAACGGCAATGATTCGCTTAGCAACTGTGGCAAGGTTGTAAAATAAGGACACAGCTTACAGCACGACCGCCTTGCTTAATGGTGGATTTTGCAGTACAGGCAGTCCTCGACCTACAACAGTTCATTTAGTGACGATTCAAAGTTACAGCAGCACTAAAACAGGACTTATGACCGTTTTCACACACTAACGACGGTTGCAGCATCCCCATGGTCACATGATCAAAATTCAGATGCTTCAGACTCCTATTTATGACGGTCGTAGTGTCCTGGGGTTGTGTGATCCCCTTTTGCAACCTCCTGACAAGCCAAGTCGGTGGGGAAAGCCAGATTCGCTTAACAACCGGGTTACTATCTTATTGACTGCAGTGATTCGCTTAACAACATTGGCAAGAAAGGCTGTAAAATGGAGCAAAACTCACAATAACTGTCTCACTTAGTAACATAAATTTTGGGCTCATTTGTGGTTGCAGGTTGAGGGCTACCTGTACTTTACTGCTTTTTATAAAGCGATAAAATTAATATTGAGCAGAATTCGATTCGGTCTACCATGACAGTCCTAGTTTCTCCTGGGACTGGTTAGTAACCCCGTTGTTAAGTGAATCTCGCTCCTGCATTGACTTTGCTTGTCAGATGGTCACAAAACGGGATCACACATCCCCAGGACACGGCAACCATCATCAATACGAACTAGTTGCCAGGTGTCCGAACGCGGCAACGGTCGTAACTGTGAAAAAAAGTTCACAATTCCCTTTTTCCAGTGCTGTTGTAACTTCCAATGGCCAGTAGACAAAATGTTGTAAATCTAGGACTGCCTGTAGAGCTAAAATTCTTTCCGTTTTTATCGGTGGGCCTAAAAAAATACCGTAAAAACATTTAATCAACACAGAGCAGTGAAGAACCAGCCTGAGTTTTCTCCTCAGTGTTGTGGCCTCCATTTTGACTTTTTTGACCTAACCAGTGTATAACTCGTTTCTCTTTGCTTTTTTCTTCTTTTTTTCTGTAATTCTTCACTTTCAAAGGCAAATTTTTAGAAGCTGTGGAGATGGATGTCTCGTTGTTTTGAAAATTGGGGTGGGGGGTGGTCCTTTTTTCCACTCCGTCTCCTGGTGTTTGTCCGATAATGCAAGTGGTATTCAAAGCGATTTCCCTCGATACAGCTGATTGTTTCCCTGTCACTAAGCGGCTCGCTGACTGGCGATTGCGAAAATTGCTCTTAATCTAGCTGTCCATCAACACCAGAGTTTCCCCTCTCCTAAAAACAATATGATCCAGCAATTCAGCGTCAGATATTTCTATTTTCTTGTGAGATTTGGGTTATTTTCACACAACATCCTGAGGTGAATTACTTCAATGTCGGGACGGGACATCCTCCCAAAACAAATGCTCAGCTGCAAAAGAACTCAGATGAAAATCAAATTCTCCTCTGAATCTCTATCTTTTACAGATAGAGATAGTCCTCGACTTATGACCCTGATGGAGCTCAACATTTCTGTTGTTAAGGGAGACATGAGTTTTGTCTCATTTTATGACCTTTATTGCCACAGTTGTCAAGTCGATCGCTGCAGGTCATAAGGTCATATAAGTAAGTGACCTGGCTGTTAAGCGAATCGGGCTTCCCAAATGGACTTTACTGGCCCAAAAGTCATAAAAAGGGGAGCACAGGACTTTGGGTCACAGCAACGGTTGTAAGTATGAAGCGGTTGCCAAGCATCTACATTTTTATTGTGCAATGCTACGAAGGTTACAATGGTGAAAACTGGTCCCAAATCGTTTTTTCCCCTCAGTGCCATTATAACTTTGAATGGTCCCTAAATGAACTGCTATAGTCCTCGGCTTACAACAATTTGTTTAGCAACCGTCTAAAGTTACACCAGCAGTTTTAAAAAATGAGATTTAGGACCGATCTTCACACTTAACGTCCGTTGCACCATCCCCATGGGGTCATGTGATTCAGACGCTTGGCAACTGACTCGTATTTATGACAATTGAAGTATCCCGGGCCTGGGTTGTGTGATCACTGTCTCTCAACTTCCCAGCAAATGAAGTCCATGGGAGAAGCCCGATCATTTAATGACCGATTCACTTAACACCTGCAGTGATTAACAAGGCCGAGGAAGGCCGCCCAATGCTTAGTGACCATCTTGCTTAGTGACAGAAATGTTGGGCTCCTTTGAGTTTGGTTAAATGCAGGTAGTCCTCGCCTTACTACCACAATTGAGCCCAAGATTTCTGTTATTAAGTGAGACATTTGTTAAGTCATTTGTTAAGGGAGTGTTGCCCCATTTTACAAAGTTTCTTGCCAAAGTTGTTAAGTGAATCACTGCAGTTGTTAAGTCAGCAACCCCGTTGTTTGACTTTGCTGGTCAAAATGTCACTAAAGACACACACACACACACACACATACACACACACACACAGCCACAGCAATGGTCATAAATATGAATCAGTTACCAAGCCTCTGAATTTTGCGATCACACGATCATGGGGTTGTGACTGAAAAATGGACATAAGTCACTTTTTCCAGTGTGGTCGTAACTTTTGAACAGTCACTAAATGACCGCATGAAGGTATTCTACCTCTAATAATGCCCACCCGTTGAATTGCCCAAAAAGGTGAATTTCCAAGAGATGCCAAATTCCTGGGATTCTCCAGCATTGCAAAAGCTGGTTTATTATAAATGATGGTTTTAACAACTCGGCTAAACCAAAGGATTTTAAATTGGATCCTTCCTATACTTGTTTAACATTGTCTCAATTTCGCTCTGGGTGCTAAAAAAATGTTTTTGTACATGGCCATTTTCTGACACACACACACACCCAAATCCCCAGGGCTGGGAACTAAAGTGGGGTGATTTAAGGAAAGACCCTTGCAACCTGCCCTGGGCCAGGGCCTCAACTCATTTTTAGCAGATGGAGGAGATCCATCAACATGCCTGCGGACTCCATAACCCAGCAGCCTCAGCCCTCTAGGTGGAGGGGTGGTCCTTATGCAATCTGAGGGGAGGTTCTCAATACTGCAAAGAGCTCACCCCCCCTTTTGCTTAAACTAGTCACATCCTCTCCTGCAAAGCTCTTAAAGCCCCCAACCCTTTTCGCATCACACTCTTAAAAATAGATTTATTTTCTTTTAAAAGACCTTATGAAATCCATCTCTCCTTTTTCTGTTCATTCCTCCACTTGGTAGAGGGAGGAGGAAGAACTTGGGGAGCGGGGGAGGGCAGCAAATTGGGCCCTCTTCCTCTTTCCTCGCCCCCTCCCCCCCTTTCCCCCTCCCCCCACCTCTGTGCTGGCTTCTTCCCCTCCCCCTTCCGCAGGATGGTTAGTCGATGCAAATTGTCTCATTAAGGAGAAAAGGAGGCGGGAGCCGTAATTAGAGGGCTGCTGCATATTTATTGCAGGCATACAAAGGTTGGGGGGGAGGTGCGCGCGTGGAAGGGG